GGTTTGGCAACATTATCAATCTCAACCCCTCCCCGGCATATACCGGAAGGCGCCCAAGGTGGTGCATGCACACCGAACGGCGAAAAGTGTCAAGAAGTACATGCNGCAACCCACAACTGAATTTTCAGAGCTTAGGCGGTTTGGCAACATTATCAATCTCAACCCCTCCCCGGCATATACCGGAAGGCGCCCAAGGTGGTGCATGCACACCGAACGGCGAAAAGTGTCAAGAAGTACATGCTTGAGTTGGAAGATGATTAGGTGTTTGAATTTGAAGTGCGTAGGACTGCGGAAAAGTGTGCCAAGTGGTGCAGTCGAATACGGGTCAAAAAAATTAATGTTGTGCTGAGCAATTCCTGCTTTGGCTAAAGAATGTACCTTGTGATGGATCATATAGCATTGGTACCACGGTCTTGACGGAATTGGAGAGTGTGTGTATTGCATCAGTTGAATTCTGGTGATTAATGTTGGGACTTGCTGCAAGGAAATGACATTGGTTGTAGGTCAGGTATTGCACGTTGTGGTCAAGTGTTAATTCAAACGAGACTGATCGCAGATAAGTATGCGTTGAACCTGGGGGGGGCGAATGTGCAATAAGTCAACCCTAGGTTGGGTCAGGGTAAGAAGACTTGGGGTAGTTTAATCGCAGTATATATGTTGAGGCGTGATGGAATGGAAGGTCAAGAAAAGAGTATGAGGTTGAGACTAGAATGGAGAAGGGGTTGGTTTATGGTTGGAATGATGAGCTTATGAGGGAATTAGAGTTAGTTGAGAGAGAGAGAGAGAGAGTTGGAGAGAAAGTGAAGCGGCGCAATTAGATAGATGGGGAATAGGGAGGAAGCGGCGCAATTACCTTGTGTCGGCTGATGTCGCGTGCCCCCCCTGTTTCAGTGTTCAATTTCCTTACTGTTCCCGGCCCACGAAGGCCTAAGAAACACACTTTGATCGCAAGTAACTTTGAGACGCGCAAACCCACGACCCCACTGGCACATCTACACACATATCTACGCGCGATAGGCCACCGCCGGCCGATTCCACGCCATGCTCCACGAAATCGTCCGGCATGTAGTACGGCTCCATCTGACACAAAAACACGACATAGCCGTGGGGGNATGTTGAGGCGTGATGGAATGGAAGGTCAAGAAAAGAGTATGAGGTTGAGACTAGAATGGAGAAGGGGTTGGTTTATGGTTGGAATGATGAGCTTATGAGGGAATTAGAGTTAGTTGAGAGAGAGAGAGAGAGAGTTGGAGAGAAAGTGAAGCGGCGCAATTAGATAGATGGGGAATAGGGAGGAAGCGGCGCAATTACCTTGTGTCGGCTGATGTCGCGTGCCCCCCCTGTTTCAGTGTTCAATTTCCTTACTGTTCCCGGCCCACGAAGGCCTAAGAAACACACTTTGATCGCAAGTAACTTTGAGACGCGCAAACCCACGACCCCACTGGCACATCTACACACATATCTACGCGCGATAGGCCACCGCCGGCCGATTCCACGCCATGCTCCACGAAATCGTCCGGCATGTAGTACGGCTCCATCTGACACAAAAACACGACATAGCCGTGGGGGTATCAGAAAAAACTCAGAGCAACGGAGTATCGGAAAACCTGCTTCCGATTGAGGAACTCGCCTCGAGTGTAGTATGACATCGCCTGAAGAAAAAAAAAGCATGAAACCGCTGTGGGGATCACTTCTGTGTTCACCTATGGTCCATGACTTAGAATATATACACCCCTTTTAGACCATAGGCCAGGTGCGCCAAAGGGGTGAGGGCTGCTTACGACTTTGTCGGAAAAGAATATTCCGAGGAAGTTTCTCGGTATTGAAAAAGGTTCAGAGTTTCAACCTGTNCGTGTGTGTCGGTCGGTTTGGTTCTGCTGCTCCTGCTGTGTTCTTTTTTTGACCTCGTCCACACGGAGTGGCCAACTTTGGCACGTGTTCAGAGGCAGAGACGCCCATTTTTCTTTTCGGTCCCTCCCCTCCGTTCTCCCGGAGGCACGCGGCTTCTCTGCTTTCTCTCTCCCAACCGAGCACTTCCGCGCCCCCCCCCTGGTCATCGCTGCTGCCGTCTCTACCTCCTCTCCCTCTCATTCGCTATGTGTTCCAGCAGACGATTTCTCGTGCTTTGTACTGAGGTGCACAGTTTCACGTGCACAGACGTGTGTACTGTTGTACAGAATGCACTTCGCAACCAGCTGTACTTCCGGTTCCATGAACCCTGCAGGCCGCTGCAGCCTCNCCCCCCTGGTCATCGCTGCTGCCGTCTCTACCTCCTCTCCCTCTCATTCGCTATGTGTTCCAGCAGACGATTTCTCGTGCTTTGTACTGAGGTGCACAGTTTCACGTGCACAGACGTGTGTATTGTTGTACAGAATGCACTTCGCAACCAGCTGTATTTCCGGTTCCATCAACCCTGCAGGCCGCTGCAGCTTCCCGAAGCCTGTCAAGGCTGCGCAGTAGGTGAGGAGGGGAGAAAAAGACTAGACAAGACAGAAAAAACATCCGTACTACACACACCCTCTTTGACCGCTGCTGAAGAGACCCAGGGCCAACAGGGGCTTGCAACAAACGCTTTTCGCTCGATCCCAAACTCGTCTGACCCGGTTCCCCTCCCTCCTGTGGATTAGGATCGGAAATAGAAGATTGCCACCAGAAATTAAGTGGTGGGTAGCGTTTCGGTGTGCTGTGCCTTTGTTGGCGAATTCTTCCGTTCAAGTTTGGGAGTGTAGACGACGCCAGCAATGTAGACTACAAGAAGGGCGCATGTAGAAGGGCAACACGCAAGGAAAGCCTAAATCGTACTCAAGCCGTCGGCACCTTTACAAAGGCTGAAAACAAGCCGAATGTAACCCGCATCCATCAGAAGATACCTTCCGCTCTCTTTCCATAACCCCACCCTTTGCCCCAAGGGCTCTGGAATCTACAAGCTGTACTGTAACCAGACCAAACGAAAAAAAAAACGCATATGGAAAGCCATGTACGAGCGATTGGCGCTTGCATTTTCTAACTGATGTTTTCAGGAGAACTAGTCTACGACGAATCCATTTGAAAGCTGCTTCCCTCAAATGCGCGCTAAGCCTATCGTCTACGACACGCGCGTGATGCGCAATTCTCCCAACTTGTCGAAAGATCTCATAAGAGGGGAGCTGCAGAAGCAGCGTCCGCATACCCACACTTCTGTCTGACAGGCACTTGATATGCCTGTTGGGTGGCACTTGATACGGCCAGATCGCATGTCTTGCGGTTGATGCCCCTGTGTTCCGACTCGTTTATCAGGTTGACGTTGAAGTTGAACGTGTCGAACCCCATGCCGTTGACGCTGGGTAGGTGCTTCTTGTTCTTTGAGTGGTTTTGTTCATGAGCGTTGCAGTTTACCCCGGTGAGCTGCGGGCACCGGGCCAAGCCGCCAAACTTCTCTTGGCACTTCCCTTGGTGATTTCCTTCGTGCGGTCCGTCCGGCGCTAGCCAAAGGCCAACTCTCTTGCCATCGTAGAAGTGGCCATAGTCTCCAAACGATCGGAACCGTTGGAAGTGGAAGGAAATGCCGTAGCCAGGCAGCCTGCCATGATCATCCAACCCACCGCCCAGAGAGTCGCTAGAAAGCGCCATCTGCAGTGCTTTCACGGAGTGTTCTGCCTCTCCGAAACCGACTCCTGCTCGGATGAAACGAGCTGCTTTCATCGCAAAAAAAACACGGGGGGGAACGAGCGGCTACTCAGGGACTAAACGTGTCGCACGAACATAACGGGCGGTGTCGCAAATGACCAATTGCGGGTAGCGAGCGCAAACATGGCCGGGAGTTTAGGGGTACGGCAACGTGTTGGTACGGGAAAATACCCCGTCGTTCCCTTGCGAAGACTTGTATCGAATGTTCCAATATTACGAGTAATGGTACGGGTACGCCAAAAGGAGGACAGGCTACTAGAACTTGTTGCCAAGAACGGGATATTGCTGCTGCGACCAAGCGAACACATGACAACTAATAACACACCTACTTGGGGTATGCAACGGATACTTGTATTAAAAACGCGACATAGTAAACGTGCTAGGGTAAATTCTCACATGCGCGTTCGCGACGTATGTCGTCCTTGGCGCCCAGGAGATGAGTGATGTAGGAGACCTTGGTCTGGATGGGAGGGTCAGAGAGAGATGGGGGAGAGGAAGCGGCGTTGGGGGAGATGGAGTAGTGTCGATGACGTCGAACGATGAACACTTTGAGCATACCGCGAAGACTCTCCCATTGACGGACACGTGACAGAACTCGTCATGCATCACGAAGTCCCAAATGCCCAACGAAATAAAGCCTCACGTTGTGGTAGTTGTCGATGACGTCCTCCAATGGCCGCAGAGTTTCGGCATGGGAGTACAGGAAGTATTTCTCGAGGACAAACGAAGGAACCTCCACGTCGGCCAAGCCACGAGCGGGTGGAGGTGATCCTGCCGCTACCCTCAGAATCTCCATGAGATGTGCGGCGATCATGCCGAGCTCAGCCCTCGACAAATCGGTGATCGCACTCTCTGGTGGGTCTCCCCCGGACTCCCTCCCCCCTTGCAGCAGGTGGACATGCGGGTCTGCTACAGACGCTTCCTGAAACCACAACGCGTAGGCAAGGACGACCTCGAAGAGGTTCAACGCATAGCACCCTTGCTGGTGCAAATACCTGAGCGAGGTCTCTGCAAGCTCGCTGATGCGCTTGGGTGAAGATGACCAGTCGTCAGTTCCTTGGACTTGACGGTTCCTCTCGACAACATCACCAGCATGTTTTAGTAGGGCGGAGAAGTCGATGTGCGGTTGAACGGGCCCGGACAGCGCGGTGGCGAAGGCGTCGTACACGTTGTATCGGAGTTGGTCGACTGGCGGCGCCGTTGATGATGCAGATGCAGATACAAATGCACACCCCGTCGGTGGCACCCTAACCTCGTGCCGATCCGGATAGTCGTACCCACGGGCTCCGATGTGCTGCAGTCCGGGCAAGGAGACTTGGCCTTTGGCATTGCGCGGCAGAGCACCGCCATTTTGTAGTAGACCGGGGACATTTTTCTCGGCGTTAGGTGCAACCATGCAGGGGATATCCGTTACCAACACGGACGGTGTTGCCTGGCAGGGACGAAAATCAACAGCATGCAGCAAGAACGTGAATGGAAGGGGCTCCTACAAAAACCTAGACGTTCTTCACCATCCATCCGAGCTGACCCATGACCATAAAGCATCACAGACATGCAAAGTAAAAAAAAACTGCTAACTAGCCAGGACAACAATGGACAGGACAGCTAGCGGCAGTGGTCGGGTGGAGAATGCTGCCAACTGTCACATTCCAACTTATCTTAACCAAAGCTGTCGAAGCTTACACGGGTTAGGGAGGATGGGCACCATAAAGCACCCCCCACACACACGCATGCACATTCCACTCAAGGTGCCCGCAGACGTCAAGTAAAACAGACGATAGCTCTTCCTACCCTTGCATACCCACCCTGGCATTGTTTGATCAATATCATGCTGGCCCGACATGGATGCGCACGATCTTCAACATGGAGTTCGAGTTATGTCCTTCGCTTACATATGGAATGGATACAACCAACGACGCAGGAATAGCAACATCACGTCGACAAAAGTTCGACGTCAAATACAAAAAGCGGAAGAAGAAGAGAGACGGGAGTCAGCGGGCTGTAGTCGGGAAGAGTATGTGGGGCGAGGGTGTAGGAACGCCTTCTTTCGCCGTGCGTGCAGAAGCACGATTCCTCACCGCCAGGTGCCGCATGGTGTCCACAACGGCTCCAGGTCCACAACCTGGAGCAGATGCGAATTCACTACTCCGTCAGGGGTGAACAGCCCTTCTACTCCAGCCGTCTTTCCCGATGGCCGGACGATGAACACCTTGGAGCAACGGTCCGCTTCATCCGGTCCAAGCGCAAACCTCCAAAGCTGTTGGAAGCAGCCGATGAAATCTTCCTTCTTTGTGTACCTGATAAAAGTTTGCGAAGGTAAAAGAGTCAGTCCCGAGCACCAAGTTTGCAGGTGCGTAGGGCTATACGTTCGTCGGGAGTGCAATCTCTAAGTACCAAGTCTCTACGCAACAAGCCGCCACGAAAACGAAGCATAGCAGCAAAATACACGCTGGCTAGTCCGAAACTCACGCGCTGATTCCCCTTCCACCGGGGAAGCAGAGTCTGTAGATGTTCTTCAGGTCATCCAGGGTTTTCTCGTTGAGGTCGTCCATGCCGCCACCGTTAAGTGCGCGCAGGAGCTCTCCCGCATCCCCCGTCTCGGGGGATCCTACCGGCGGCGGCTTTCCTCGTGCGGTCCGTAGCATCACGTTCGAAATGCGGTTGCGCCTTCCGAACGTTGGGGGCGCCTCCGTCACCCAGCGGAGGCGCGTCCTGAAAACCATCTTGGATATCATAGACATCTTCAGGAGCTGATGGCCAAGGTCGATGTCCACTAGTCTCTCCTGTCGAGCTTGGTCGAAATGCGCCAAAGTAGCGTCATCCGAAATTACTTTCGCGCAACCGTCGATGCTCATGAGCTCTGGGCAGTGGCCGTAGAGGTAGCTCACAAAATCAAAGGGGTGCTGCGTTAAGCCTTCGAAAGCAAAATACGCGTCCCTGATAGCGGCAATGAAGTTGTGGTCTCGGATGCTGAGGGGAACAGAGGCGGCAGTGGACAACACAGCAGTAGGCGGGACAAAAGCATTCAAAGGTGGCGAGTGGTAGATATCGCCGAAATTTGTCAGGGCTCAGCGAGGGGATGTTTGACGCGGCTGATTGAGGCACAATCGGGACGTTCTAGCCGGACCCCCCGATCGCGAATCATACGTCACAGTTGGTGGTTAGGCGGGGAGGGGTGGGGTGCAGCACTTACGGAAGCCATCCCCTCTTGGTTATCCCGCCCAACAATAAACATAGAGCTGTAAGTTTGAGCGACCTGTAACTAAAACTCCGACATAGGTCGTTGTCGCCGCGACAACTAGAGAGAGATGTTGGCGTTGACGGTGACTGACGCACAGAGCGGCGCGTACAAACAGCACGCCACGTCGCGTTTCCGGTGGTGGATGATAGGCTTGATAAGTGTTTCGGAGGACGTGAAACTCGCACGCACACAATCAAATCGGCATCCCGGGCTTGTCGTGGACGGCGATGCCTCTTTTTGTATTTCATCAGATGCTTGCCTATTTTTCATACGCCTATAAGCGTTCTCGACGTTCCAGAACGGGCTGTGTGTCCTGATTCTGGCAGGATGGGGTGGACCAGTCGATGTTTGCGATATTTACAGCTTGGCGCGCTCCATGTGTACATGTTCGAGTATCGTCAAGAACGGCAACCCCACCAGGTGCCTGTCGAAGCAAAAAGCACTTGAGCAGAATCAACATGGTGGACAATACCACCCCCCACCACTCTTGGCTGCAGCGGGGTGTGCCGTGTGGAGTTGTTCATGATATGAGTGGTTTCTCGGGTGCTCCCAACGAAAGAACATACGTGTGGTGGGCACAGGCAATTGTACAAAAGAAGTTGAAGCAGTTCCGATAATTTCCAAGCCCGTTACGCGGAATTGAGTGTGTTAGGCCCACCGGACAGTTTGCGGGTAGAGGGGCAGGACATGAACTTCACGAAAAACACGAAATGTCGGTGAATTTTTCAAACTTTCCGATAATGTGACGCTTCAATCGCCCGCCTAGTCCACCTGAACCCGACGGCACAAACGTTTGCACGCAAACAACTCCTGGGAGGTACGTGGGTGGCGTACAGGACCAACCATTTGTTTTTCTCCGACGCCGGTGAGCGATTTTTTGGTTGCTTGAGCACGACCTGGGGAGCTTCAAAATGCTGTCACCGGCTGTGCAGGTCTATGTTTCCGGTCAAACAAATTTTGTCATACTCTGTAGACATGTCGTCAAGCGCGGGCGAAACAGAATGTTCCCGCACGCATATGATGAAAAGTTGTCGAAGGTTTAGTGGACAGGATGTATGTGTCGGACGACATCAAATTCCCCCCCCACCCTTGGCTTGCGGGGTACAAAACGACTCGTTTTCGACATGAGGATTTTTTTTCGGGTATTGTCAACGCGATGGCATGTGTGCGGTGAGCACAGGCAACTGTAGAAAAACAAATGAAGTAGTTCTGATAAGTTTGAAGCATGTTACGTGAATTGAGTGTTTTTGGCCGTTGCGGCGTTTTTCCCTGGTTTTTTCCGGAAGGGGGGCACGGCACGAATCTCACGAAAAATGGGAAATCTCGGTGATTTTTTCGATTTTTTTGGAACGGTCATGCTTGAACCCTGGTTGAGTCCGTATGGGTCTGATAAAGTCATGAGCTGCACGCAAACAACTCCTGTGAGGTACGTGGGTGGCGTACAGGACCAACCATTTGTTTTTCTCCGACGCCGGTGAGCGATTTTTTGGTTGCTTGAGCACGACCTGGGGAGCTTCAAAATGCTGTCACCGGCTGTGCAGGTCTATGTTTCCGGTCAAACAACTTTTGTCATACTCTGTAGACATGTCGTCAAGCGCGGGCGAAAAAGAATGTTCCCGCACGCATATGGTGGAAAGTTGTCGAAGGTTTAGCGGACAGGATGTGTCGGACGACATCAAATTCCCCCCCCACCCTTGGCTTGAGGGGTACAAAACGACTCGTTTTCGACATGAGGATTTTTTTTCGGGTATTGTCAACGCAATGGCATGTGTGCGGTGAGCACAGGCAACTGTAGAAAAAAAAATGAAGTAGTTCTGATAAGTTTGAAGCGTGTTACGTGAAATTGAGTGTTTTTGGCCGTTGCGGCGTTTTTCCCTGGTTTTTTCCGGAAGGGGGGCACGGCACGAATCTCACGAAAAATGGGAAATCTCGGTGATTTTTTCGATTTTTTTGGAACGGTCATGCTTAAACCGCTGGTTGAGGCCGTATGGGTCTGATAAAGTCATGAGCTGCACGCAAACAACTCCTGGGAGGTACGTGGGTGGCGTACAGGACCAACCATTTGTTTTTCTCCGACGCCGGTGAGCGATTTTTTGGTTGCTTGAGCACGACCTGGGGAGCTTCAAAATGCTGTCACCGGCTGTGCAGGTCTATGTTTCCGGTCAAACAACTTTTGTCATACTCTGTAGACATGTCGTCAAGCGCGGGCGAAAAAGAATGTTCCCGCACGCATATGGTGGAAAGTTGTCGAAGGTTTAGCGGACAGGATGTGTCGGACGACATCAAATTCCCCCCCCACCCTTGGCTTGAGGGGTACAAAACGACTCGTTTTCGACATGAGGATTTTTTTTCGGGTATTGTCAACGCAATGGCATGTGTGCGGTGGGCACAGGCAACTGTAGAAAAAAAAAGAAGTAGTTCCGATAAGTTTGAAGCATGTTACGTGAAATTGAGTGTTTTTGGCCGTTGCGGCGTTTTTCCGGAAGGGGGGCACGGCACGAATCTCACGAAAAATGGGAAATCTCGGTGATTTTTTCGATTTTTCCGGAAGGCCGACCTTAAATCGCTCGTTGAGTCCATACAGATCCGGGGGGGGCATTTGCTGCACGCATGCTCCTCGTGAAAGATTCGTGGGTAACGTCTGGTTAGGTGCTGTGCTCGTTTTTCGTGGGTTGAGAGAAAATCTGTTGAGAAATGTTGCCAAGGATGCTCTCCCACGCAGGCATACGAGGCGATGGTGAAGCGAGGGTTCTGACATTCACCCTAGGAGGGATCCAATATCTATCGCGTTCATAAAAACGGGGGTGCGAAGCCTCTATGCCTCCTACGAGCCCTTTAACCGTTGTCGATGCTCTAGACCTCGATGCGCCACGGCGTTGAAAAAACGTATAGGGGTGAAAACTGGGAACATCCCTCAGGGGTACCCCAAAACGGTTAAAGGGTTCGTAGGAGGTACAGAGGCTTCGCACCCCCGTTTTTATGAACGCGATAGATATTGGATCCCTCCTAGGGTGAATGTCAGAACCCTCGCTTCACCATCGTCTCGTATGCCTGCGTGGGAGAGCATCCTTGGCAACATTTCTCAACAGATTTTCTCTCAACCCACGAAAAACGAGCACAGCACCTAACCAGACGTTACCCACGAATCTTTCACGAGGAGCATGCGTGCAGCAAATGCCCCCCCCGGATCTGTATGGACTCAACGAGCGATTTAAGGTCGGCCTTCCGGAAAAATCGAAAAAATCACCGAGATTTCCCATTTTTCGTGAGATTCGTGCCGTGCCCCCCTTCCGGAAAAACGCCGCAACGGCCAAAAACACTCAATTTCACGTAACATGCTTCAAACTTATCGGAACTACTTCTTTTTTTTTCTACAGTTGCCTGTGCCCACCGCACACATGCCATTGCGTTGACAATACCCGAAAAAAAATCCTCATGTCGAAAACGAGTCGTTTTGTACCCCTCAAGCCAAGGGTGGGGGGGGAATTCGATGTCGTCCGACACATCCTGTCCGCTAAACCTTCGACAACTTTTCACCATATGCGTGCGGGAACATTCTTTTTCGCCCGCGCTTGACGACATGTCTACAGAGTATGACAAAAGTTGTTTGACCGGAAACATAGACCTGCACAGCCGGTGACAGCATTTTGAAGCTCCCCAGGTCGTGCTCAAGCAACCAAAAAATCGCTCACCGGCGTCGGAGAAAAACAAATGGTTGGTCCTGTACGCCACCCACGTACCTCACAGGAGTTGTTTGCGTGCAAACGTTTGTGCCCTCGGGTTCAGGTGGACTAGGCGGGCGATTGAAGCGTCACATTAACGGAAAGTTTGAAAAATTCACCGACATTTCGTGTTTTTCGTGAAGTTCATGTCCTGCCCCTCTACCCGCAAACTGTCCGGTGGGCCTAACACACTCAATTCCGCGTAACGGGCTTGGAAACTATCGGAACTGCTTCAACTTCTTTTGTACAATTGCCTGTGCCCACCACACGTATGTTCTTTCGTTGGGAGCACCCGAGAAACCACTCATATCATGAACAACTCCACACGGCACACCCCGCTGCAGCCAAGAGTGGTGGGGGGTGGTATTGTCCACCATGTTGATTCTGCTCAAGTGCTTTTTGCTTCGACAGGCACCTGGTGGGGTTGCCGTTCTTGACGATACTCGAACATGTACACATGGAGCGCGCCAAGCTGTAAATATCGCAAACATCGACTGGTCCACCCCATCCTGCCACAGTCAGGACACACAGCCCGTTCTGGAGCGTCGAGAACGCTTATAGGCGTATGAAAAATAGGCAAGCATCTGATGAAATACAAAAAGAGGCATCGCCGTCCACGACAAGCCCGGGATGCCGATTTGATTGTGTGCGTGCGAGTTTCACGTCCTCCGAAACACTTATCAAGCCTATCATCCACCACCGGAAACGCGACGTGGCGTGCTGTTTGTACGCGCCGCTCTGTGCGTCAGTCACCGTCAACGCCAACATCTCTCTTTAGTTGTCGCGGCGACAACGACCTATGTCGGAGTTTTAGTTACAGGTCGCTCAAACTTACAGCTCTATGTTTATTGTTGGGCGGGATAACCAAGAGGGGATGGCCGTAAGTGCTGCACCCCACCCCTCCCCGCCTAAGCACTAACTGTGACGAATGATTCGCGATCGGGGGGTCCGGCTAGAACGTCCCGATTGTGCCTCAATCAGCCGCGTCAAACATCCCCTCGCTGAGCCCTGACAAATTTCGGCGATATCTACCACTCGCCACCTTTGAATGCTTTTGTCCAGACTACTGCTGTGTTGTCCCCTGCCGCCTCTGTTCCCCTCAGCATCCGAGACCACAACTTCATTGCCGCTATCAGGGACGCGTATTTTGCTTTCGAAGGCTTAACGCAGCACCCCTTTGATTTTGTGAGCTACCTCTACGGCCACTGCCCAGAGCTCATGAGCATCGACGGTTGCGCGAAAGTAATTTCGGATGACGCTACTTTGGCGCATTTCGACCAAGCTCGACAGGAGAGACTAGTGGACATCGACCTTGGCCATCAGCTCCTGAAGATGTCTATGATATCCAAGATGGTTTTCAGGACGCGCCTCCGCTGGGTGACGGAGGCGCCCCCAACGTTCGGAAGGCGCAACCGCATTTCGAACGTGATGCTACGGACCGCACGAGGAAAGCCGCCGCCGGTAGGATCCGCCGAGACGGGGGATGCGGGAGAGCTCCTGCGCGCACTAAACGGTGGCGGCATGGACGACCTCAACGAGAAAACCCTGGATGACCTGAAGAACATCTACAGACTCTGCTTCCCCGGTGGAAGGGGAATCAGCGCGTGAGTTTCGGACTAGCCAGCGTGTATTTTGCTGCTATGCTTCGTTTTCGTGGCGGCTTGTTGCGTAGAGACTTGGTACGTAGAGATTGCACTCCCGACGAACGTATAGCCCTACGCACCTACAAACTTGGTGCTCGGGACTGACTCTTTAACCTTCGCAAACTTTTATCAGGTACACAAAGAAGGAAGATTTCATCGGCTGCTTCCAACAGCTTTGGAGGTTTGCGCTTGGACCGGATGAAGCGGACCGTTGCTCCAAGGTGTTCATCGTCCGGCCATCGGGAAAGACGGCTGGAGTAGAAGGGCTGTTCACCCCTGACGGAGTAGTGAATTCGCATCTGCTCCAGGTCACGTCGGAGAGTCCAGCAGACGTTGTGGACACCATGCGGCACCTGGCCGTGAGGAATCGTGCTTCTGCACGCACGGCGAAAGAAGGCGTTCCTACACC